AAATAATCATATTTACATCTTTAAATCGATAATCATATTCATTTCTATCACAAAAGATCATATTTTCGTGGATATCTAAGCTTTCATCTAAAACATAAACATCGATATCTTCACTTTAATGAACTACAATCATGATAAAAAAAAAACATTAACGCTGCTCACTTTACAGATGGTTTAAACTGACAAAACATTTAATAAAAGTATTGTTGGACATTTGGACGCGCAAACCTGCCCTTATAAATAATCTATTTATTATAGGTGATTATATTTGTCATATTCATATCCATAATTATATTCATAGACGTGTGTTGAGAATCTGATGATGATGTAGTTATTTCTAAATATCTTATTGGCACTCTGCTAATAAACAATAGTGAAATACGTAATTAAAAACAACAACAAAAGTGGGAAATAAAAAATAATAATAATAATAATCATGTAAATCTAATACTTCAATTCAAAGGATAATGATGAAAAAAAATGAAATAGAACACAAAAATAAGGACCATAATCATAGGAACAAAAACGAACGAAAAGAGAAGACGAAAAGAAAACGAATCCTGCAAAGAGAAAGGAAAACGGGAAAAAAAAAACACAAGAAACAAATGAGAAACTCTGATGGACAGTGTGTTTGAAAATAGCTCGTTCCTCCACATACTTACCTTGTCTAAAACACGTAAAAATAAAACAACGACAGAAAGAAAAACAGGAAAAGAAAATAAAGAAAAATAACACGACACGCACAGCACATGTATTGAATTTGCTTCAGTCAAAAGATTTTCTCAAGTCAGAGCAAAACGTCGGTGTTTTATTTTATTCTGAGAAGAAACTGATATGCTTCTGATAAAAAAAATAATAATACTCATACATACATGTCAAGATGTAAAGGCACACAGACACAGCCACAGAGACGTACATAAGTGCAAATCTACACACACACACACACACACACACACACGCGCGCGCGCGCGCGCGCGCGCGCACACACAGAATCCGTCGATGCACGTTTTCCTCTCCTAACGTACCCTTAACGTACCCAATTCTCTCCTTAATAATGACCTTAAATACCTCTCTTTTTCTTTTTCCCCCAAGCCAAAAAAATTCGAACCGCGTGAACGGAGGTCAGGTTAAAAATAGCCCTGTTCACTAGGTCATTTTCAAGGTCAAGACATCTCGCTCTTTCATTTGCTTGCAGTGGCTTATGTAAGGTGAAAAGGGGGGTGGGGGTGGGACCTACTGTCTTGCCTTTTAAAATAACGGTTTAATGAAGGCATTTCCAGCAAGGCGTGTGATTATCTTTGGTCATTAACGTTATGGGTGAAAATTAAGATATTTTTTTCTTTCTTTTCTTGCCCTGTGATCGAAGGATATTTTTTTCTTTTCTTTTTCTTTTTTTTCTTTTTTGTCTTCGTGACTTTTGACCTCCTTCTCGTGTGACGTCATCCGTTTTCTCATCCACTGTTTTTTTTTATTCTCTCTCTCTCTATCTATCTATCTATCGATCTATCTATCTATCTATCTAACTATCTATCTATCTCTTACTCTCACTTTCATTCTCCCTTTTGCACTCTCTCTGTAATTATCTATCTATCTATCTATCTATGTCTATCTATCTATCTGTCTATCTATCTGTCTATCTATCTATCTATCTATGTCTATCTATCTATCTGTCTATCTATCTGTCTATCTATCTATCTATCTATGTATATCTATCTATCTGTCTATTTATCTGTCTATCTATCTATCTATCTGTCTATTTATCTATCTATCTATCTATGTCTATCTATCTATC